CCCCCCCCCACACACACGCACACGCATGCGTGCGCGCACACACACAGTGCTTGGGCAGGATTCTCCAGGGGGCATGGACAGCAGTGCTCACACAGCCAGGCACCTGCTGAGGATGTCTTCTTGTCAGTGGGGGTGGTAGGGAAGCCCAGGCCCCTGGTAGAGGCTTCTCTGCTTCATGAGGGGCCTGCACAAGAGTGGCCCCACACTTTTCTATCATGAGCTCCAGGAGAGTAAAATTTTTGCTAGACTTACAGGCAGAGTGTCCTACCTGCTCTGGAGTAGAGAGCAGGTCTGGGCTTAGGGATAGCTTTCTGACCCTCCTGCTCAAATCCCCTCCTAGAACTCAGGCCACATGACCCACTCACCATAAAGGACCAGGGTGGCAAAGACGAGGAAGCTCAGCATGTTGCCAGTGGAGTAGACCACAAGTGGCCCCTTACCATGACCCAAGCCTTTTTATACTCCTCTTATCAGCAGCTTTGCTAACCTTCCTGCCAGTTGGCAGGGCTGCGGGTGGAAGGCAGGGAAAATCACAGGTGACATGGAAATACAAATGAAAAGATTTCTTTTCAAGTAAACTAATTTATGTTATTCAAAGACAGAACAAGGTCAGGGCTAAATTAATTATCTACTTTTAGTTGAAAAGCATCCAACAAAGTCTTTTCCAGAAGTAAGATGGAGAACTTGGACTGGTTTTCCCTTCGGGGTGCTCCCCTAGTAGCGTGTCACTGCCTCACTGTCCTCATTGGCACTACAAGCACAGAGACCTATCCTGTGCACTAGGAGGTGGGGGCAAAAGAGGATTGGAGGAGGGAAGAGTGACTAGCAAGAGGAAGGAAGGGTCAGCAACATCTCCCAGTGCACAGAGGGAGATGGGACGTGTGCATATGTCTGTATACCTGCAGACATAGGTGTAAATGCAGGGAGGCAAAAGCAAAGTAGGTGCATTAGAGAGAACTCTGTGGAAGAGGGTGCTAGGAAACAGGTTTGGGGAGACTCAGAGAGCTGAAAAGAGCTCCCAGAGGACAATGTGGGGGAGTTAGAAGAGGGAGCCCTTGGGATAGCGAGATAATTTGAGGGTTATAAAGGTAGAGGCCAGGGGGAGCAGAGTGGAGGAGTGGGCATGTCCTGCAGGAGGTGAAAGGCTCTGCCCATCAGTCAGTAGAAGAGGAAAGAGGGAGATGCAGTATGCCTTGAGGTAGGCAGAGGACTTTGGGTTGGGAGGCCCTAGAGCAGAGGACTATGGGTGTAGTGGTTTTTTAGGCAGAGGGGAGCCGGGAAGCTTGGAAGTCTAGAGGGAAGCAGCAAAGTCACCAGGTCCCTAGAACTGCAGAATTCAACTTTTCATGTCTGCAGATACAGGAGAGGCCTGGAAAAGCTGTTAGAAGGAGTTCTATACAAACAGTCACCTTTTTAGGTCCTTGAACTAGTCAGGGGAATGTAAACTATGATGCTCAGGTAACCTGGAGGGCTCCCTCTCCAGTCTAACCCCCAGCATTCTAACACAGAGTAGAGCTTGGGGAGGAGGGCTGAGCTGGGCTGGGGACCAGGGTCTCTTTTGTCATTTTCCTCCCACCTCCTACCTCCTTTGGAGAGTAAGGAGACAGCTCTAGCCTTCAGATGAGGAGTTTAAGAGGAGGCTTTAGGGCCTCCTAAAAGTTACCCCTCAACATCACATACTCTAAAGCAGTGGTTCTCAACCTTCTGGCCCTATAAATACAGTTCCTCATGTTGTGACCCAACCATAAAATTATTTTCGTTGCTACTTCATAACTGTAATGTTGCTACTGTTATGAATCGTAATGTAAATATCTGATATGCAGGATGGTCTTAGGCGACCCCTGTGAAAGGGTCGTTCGACCGCCAAAGGGGTCGCGACCCACAGGTTGAGAACCGCTGCTCTAAAGTGTACCTTTAAGGGCAAGGCCAATATCACATCCATCTCTGTATACGTGGCCTAGCTCAGAGAAGCCCAATCTGTATTTGCTTAAAAACCAAAATCTTTAGGTCCTGACCAGATGGCTCAGTTGGTTGTAGTGTTGTCCCATACACCAAAAAGATTGTGGGTCAGGGCACATATCTGAGTTGTGGGTTGGGGTGCATAGAGGAGGCAACGGATAGATGTTTCTCTCTTTCTCTCTCTCTCAAATCAGTAAAAACATATCCTCAGGTGAGGATTATAAAAAAAAGAAAAGAAAAACTAAATTCTTTAACGCCAAAGGGGTCGCGACCCACAGGTTGAGAACCGCTGCTCTAAAGTGTACCTTTAAGGGCAAGGCCAATATCACATCCATCTCTGTATACGTGGCCTAGCTCAGAGAAGCCCAATCTGTATTTGCTTAAAAACCAAAATCTTTAGGTCCTGACCAGATGGCTCAGTTGGTTGTAGTGTTGTCCCATACACCAAAAAGATTGTGGGTCAGGGCACATATCTGAGTTGTGGGTTGGGGTGCATAGAGGAGGCAACGGATAGATGTTTCTCTCTTTCTCTCTCTCTCAAATCAGTAAAAACATATCCTCAGGTGAGGATTATAAAAAAAAAGAAAAATTAAATTCTTTAGGACTACATTTAAGACTCTCACAACTAGTGTCAAATCTACATGCCCCGCATCATCTCCTAGTGGTAGGCATAGATGGTGACTTTGGCCGCACTATTTATTTAGTTATTTAAAAAATTTGGGGGGGGATTTCTCTTCCTTTGAACTGTGACCTCCTGGATCATAGGTCGATGCTCAACCACTGAGCCATGCCAGCCGGGCTCTCTTCTTTTTAATGATGCTGATTGTTTGAGGGCAGAGAGAAAGAGCAGAGGCATCATAAATACTGAGTCTAAATTTTCAATGTGTGTTCTTCTGCATCACACTGACAAGAAGACGACCCTGGAAATGTCCAGAGGGAGTGACACATTGTTGACAAATTTTATGCACCAACATTGACCTTTGCAGTCCCCCTGATTTTCTTCATTCTATTCTTGTGTTCCTTTGCTTTCTTGAGGTCTTCTTCTTTTCATATAGGCCATGTCTTGCAAGTCCATGTTTGGCTTCATTTTTCTTTGCATAATCCAGGGAATCATAAATCATGCCAAAGTCAGTTGTCTTGCCATCACCAAAATGGGTTCTGAATCCAAACACAAAGATGACATCTAGTGTGGTCTTATACATTTTGGCTAGTTTTTCCCGAATTTCTGTCTTGGGTACTGTTGCCTTCCCTGGGTGAAGGATGTCAATGATGATTTGTTTCTGCTGAGGTAGTCTGTTGGTCATGAACTTCCTGGTTCAGATAGTTACTGTGTTATTTATGATAAAAGTTGATCTTCAAGCAACCAGAGAGGAAAGGAGAACCACTCTCCCCTGGCCAATTATATCAACAGAAGGACCCTGGGCAGTGCTGGTGTGCGGGTGTGGCCAGATCAGGAGGCCTACCACACCAATCTCTTCTTCTTTATAAAGAAGACCTTTTAACATTTCTTGTAATACTCCTTCAGCGTTTTCTTTTCTGGGAAGCTCTTTATCTATCATTTGATTCTGAATGATAGCTTTGCTGGATAAAGTAATCTTGGTTGCTTTTCATCACTTTTTGTGCCAATATTTTGTGCCAATCCCTTCTGGCCTACAAAATTTCTGTTGAGAAATCAGCTGTCAATCTTATGGGAGCTCCCTTGTAGGTAACTAACTGTTATTTTCTTGCTGTTTTCAAGATTCTCTCTTTGTCTTTAACCTTGGGCATTTTATTGTTATTATTTTTAAAAGACACATTTGCCTGGCCAGTGTGGCTCAGTGGTTGAGGGTCAACCAATAAACCAGGAGGTCTCAGTTTGATTCCTGGTCAAGGCACATGCCTGGGTTGCGGGTTTGATCTCCAGGAGGCAGCCGATCAATGATTCTCTCTCATTGTTGATGTTTCGATATCTTTCCCTCTCCCTTCCTCTCTGAAATCAATAAAAAGATATTTATTCAGCATCATGATCTAACTACTACATTTAGCAATCAACAGCATGGGTGCAAAAAAATCTATATTAAAATCCTCTGTTAGAATGCTTTACAATTTCCACAGAACATAAACTAAAATAACCTGTTATACAATTAGTCACAAATACAGTCCTTGAGTTTTTGTTTATTTTTTAGAAATAATATATACACCAAGTGGCCAGATTATTATGACCACCTGACATTTGTAGGCTAATGCTGAAGTTGCTAGAGGGCCAGACCATTATAAATAGGGAAGCAGGTTGTTTACCACGACAGTAGAAGTGATTTTTTCTGAAGATATGGGTAAACAACGCGATTTAACAGCCTTTGAACGTGGGATGATTGTTGGTGCTCAGAGCCACGGAGCGAGAATCAGCAAAACAGCCGAAGGCCTATTCGAGCACCTTTGCTGTCTGCAGTTACCAAGATAAAATATCTCCAATTCACACAGGAACACAAGGATTGGACAGTCGAGCGTTGGAAAAAAGTCATGTGGCCTGATGAATCACGTTTCCAGTTGCATCATGCAGATGGCAGAGTGAGAATTTGGC